CCTGAACATCTCTGCACAGAAATGTCACACATGAATTTATGTCACAGGGTGGGCTCCACACAAATCAACTCAGTTTAGCAATTTTCTATATGAATAATTAAGTTTTTTAAACTTAAAAAAAGTTTCTATGCATCATCGTTTATTTTCCCTTAGTAATAAACTTTTCCCCTTTAATTTTAAGGATGTACATTTTATGTCTGTTATGCACATTTTTTGTAGCAGAAATGGTCAAAATTAAGGGTTGCAGACCCCATAATCTATTAACTTTTAGCAGCACCTGTCAAAAGATGAGTTTATGTGACTTAATAACAAATAAAATGTTAAACTGATCTGAAGACAACATCATTGTTTAATTTAACATGTATAATCTGTTAATTTGCTTTTAAAAACCAGTCCATTTGATAACTGAACGTTTGATTCGGTTTATTAAACCACTAAAGTTTGATTTATAATCAGGCATTAAAGAAGACCTCTAAACCAATCTGTAAACACAACTAAAACTTAAACAGGACCCAGAAAAGGAAAAATTTTCTGACTTAACTTTACTTAAGTAAAGACACAGTTTTTTATCTGTTAATATGAAACAATGCCTAAATAAATCTGTGTATTTTTAAAGTAAATACTAGCCTGTAACTAGATAATAAAGTTTGTTTTGTCTCCTCCTCCAGTCAGCAGCAGTTTCCGGTTGTGTGTGAGAGACGTTGTGTGTTTTTCCCCTGGTTGTGAGTCTGAAAACACGCAGAGATGCCTGTGAGTAAAACTAGCTGATTTACAGCCGCCGGAGCTGCCCGACTCTTTTTACCCGAACGGGTTTTATGATTTAAGGTTTAATATTCGTGTTTTAATCGCGCGCGGGTTAGCCAAAACAAGGTAACTTTTAACACGAAGCTAAAAGCGTGAACGGAGGCAACATGGCGGAAGCACGTGCGGTGGAAAGAAGCCCACGCGCTGCTGTTTGTTTAGTTTACGACACGTAAACAGCTCGTTTAAGGCTTGATTTAAGATTAAAAATGGATAAACTCGACTTGTTTTTTACTAACAACTGAATAGTTTCCGCTGAAGTGTTTTTAAACACGTTTGTTTCGCTTCCAATGTGTTTTATTGTCAGGTATAATCTAAATAAATAAATCGTTAAAACTTTAAAACATTTGTAGCTGCGTCATTATTTTTTCTTATTAACTATTCAGCGCTAAAAAAAAAAAAGAAATACTTTATTTTTATCGTCTTGTAAGTCGATGCAGTTGGAGGCCTTGTTGAAAACAACATCCCTTGTTGCAGATATTTCTTTTTTCAGGCTTTTAAACCGACATTATGTAAAATGCTTAAATAAATTTCTGCACAGCTTTCATGTTAAACTGTCTGTAATTTGTATTTTCTTGTTTTTGTTCCTGTTTCAGCTCGCAAAGGACCTGCTGTCCCCCAGTCCTGAGGAGGAGAAGAGGAGACACAAGAAGAAACGTCTTGTTCAGAGTCCTAATTCTTATTTTATGGATGTTAAATGTCCAGGTCAGTTTAGATTAATCTGAGGCATTAATGGTTAATTTGTTATTAGATTATATTTTAAGTAGCCACCTGTAATGATTTTACTGAGGTCTTATTTACTTCTGAAACAGATATTTGTTATGATGGTATTATAAAATGTGTCATTAATTATGACACTTAAAAGAATAATAGGACTTACCAGTAAATAATAAACAGAAAATGTAAAAACTCTTCAGAGTAAAATCAGACGTATTCCCCCACCTCAGGTGTTTAAATACCCATGATGCTGGCTGAACTGGGGCTGCAGCTAACGATTATTTTAGTTATCGATTAATCTGTCGATTATTCTGTCGATTAATTGGATTTTTAAAAGTCTCATTTTCTGCAGTCATTATGAAAGCTTATTTTATGATGTGAAGGGTGATCTACACTTGCTAACGATCCTGCTGCAGTCAAAGTAAAATTACACCAGTTGTATAATTTATTTAACCTTTATTTATCCAGGTAAACTGTTTGAGAACCACTTCTCATTTACAAACATGACCTGGCATTAGGGCTGCCACAAACAATTATTTTAATAATCAATTAATCACCGATTATTTATTCGATTAGTCGACTAATCAGATCATACGTTAATTGAATATAAAACATASAGCTTATCACACCAGAATGCAGCTACTATATAACCATGGTTAGATTTTAGCTATATGCTAACTAAAAATAATAGCTGTGGAAGGTAAGTTCTGCTCTGCAGATATTACACAGGTTTCTCTTTCATTTTCTTAAAATGATCCCACACTTTGAGCTCTGTTGTCAGGTATTTTTGCTATAAGTTGTTAAGG